TCCAATACTTATCTGTTCAGTGTTAACCATTCCATTCTTTCGTTTCTGTTTTAAATCAGCATCACAATAATACTTTTCTGTTTGGATTAGAGTATATTTTTCTTAAGGGAGAGACATTATCTCTCATGTACTTCTAAAGTGCCACAAGCATTTACAGTCATATACTTATTTGCATGCTTGAACATAATTTTGAATAACTATTTAAAGAGTTGTCAGAGTAATACACGTAGAGCAGGCAACAATACGAAAAAACAATACAAAAGCATACAAATAATTGTAAGTGAACATGAAGAAACCTGTCTAAACACATACAACTAACTATTAATATTATCTTTCCTCATGCACTATGCCTTGTCTGTGTCTGCTTTCCAAATTTATAATTGGCATAAACTTCTGGAGAAGATGAACTTTGCTTAGAAATCTGAGCATTTATAAGAAGCATCAGTTAAAAGTGTGAAAAAATACTACAAATATTTATGTTAGGGATCCATGGTACCAAAAGTTAAGTCCTCATTTCACTACAAAAAAAAATTCTTCATCTTAACCTACACAAGGCAGAGGGTGGATGGATAGTCTGTGATATTTTTTCTGGATATGCTTGCCAAACTGTACACTGTTTTGTTTCAGGTATTTTTTTCATTTTGCCCTGTCATTTCTATTTTAGTTTGAAGTCATTCAGGCAGCACCAGAAGCTAGACTAATACCAATAAAGAGTTTCTCTACCAAAAAGGACCCTATTGAGCTTTTGTTGGGATAGCCAGGATGTGCCTAAACTGTATAACGTGGGCACTCAGGAATGCATCTGCATTACTGGTTGCTCCATCATACAGCTTCAGAGTTCTGTGGGAATACACCACAGATCTAACTTTGCCTAACTGAGATTTTCATGCTTTTGGATCCAAGTTTATACACAGTTCTAGCGCCTTATCACGGAAAGATCGAAAAAGCCCTTTAGTTGTAAACTGATTCCATTATGGGAAGTAATAGCAGTGCACAACCTCTAAGCAGACATTTATTCTAGGGAAAATGTCTAACTTATCTAGAAGTGTGTGTATTCACCCCAGCTAGCCTCAAGACTAAGAGTGGTGACTATTTAAGATACCTTTTTTGAGGAGAGAGGTCGTCTCCCTCGAAAAAGGATATGCCATACTACTACCTCAATACCTGAGCCAAACCTATGTCCCACAGCAAAAGTGAGATTATAAAGAAGAAATAAGATTTGCTACTATATGCATTATATTAAATGCATTTAATTAATTAAATAATTAAATGCATTGCTATGTCAGATAAAAGCATACAGGGCTAATAAACTGTTTTGTTGACCTACTTTTTACTGCTGTTCTGAAACAGTCTTCTTGATGGGTATAACTGAAGGGTCCTACAGTCAAACCAATTTTGAAAAAAAAGATGTGGTCAATGAAAGTGGCAGCTTTGAAGACCTTATTTCCTTGGGCATGAACAGTTTCACTACAAAATTCTACTGACCAAGAAAGATGTCTTTTCCAAGCCTATCCACGCATTCTTCCTGTTCCTGAAATTCAGCTCTCTCAAGCTGATGAATCACAATGACAGTCTGCTGCTTTCCAAGAAAATTTGAATCTCAGTTTAGGTACTGAAATAGAAATAGGTGAATAGGTGCCAAGGACAATGATAACCATACTTACAAGCCTATCATAAATCAGGAACTTTTTCCTAAGGCAAGACATAACGTTTAATTAAACTTACAATATTGACTTGTGTGGATAAAGAACATCTGGAGAAATAATGTCTGGCAGAAGTAGGGCATGGGAAAAGTGAAGAACTGGACTGGCCTTTGACTGAGTTCAATTCTCATTTTTTGCCTTTAATGTTTATTTCTGATGGCCTGGAAGTAGCATGATAAACACGAAATTTGCTGCTGTCACCTAGACAGCAGTTCTTAATGCAATAATAAGACCAGATTTGATATATTTTCCTTTGTTCATTATTTATGTCAGTGAAAGAGCCAGTAGATACACAATGATGTAATTAGGAGTATAATTTGCCCTACTGACTGCAAAAATCAAAACTACAGGAAATATATAAACTGAAAAATACGTGCCCAGCAGACAAAGAAGTATATACTCCCAGACTGCCATGTCTCTGTCTGTCTTCACTTGTTGTATCTTTCATAAAAAAATCTGTCTCCTACTGTTTAAGACACTTAATCCAAAGGTGGCTGCTAGGATCTCTGAGCAGCATAAATATTAATAAATATTTTACAATGATAACCTGCGTTGTCCTGTGCTATGCTGTATGTCAGAGCTGGATAATGATATTTCATTGAAACAAATACTCCAAAAAGTATACCAAGTTTGGGAGATCTAACATAAATATTTTACTAAAATTCATATATTTCTGGAATCTTACAGACTTAACTTGCCTTTGTATTCGGTAGTCAGTAGAGAAGCCGTGAATTTGACCAACTAAAAACTATTTTTAAAAATAAATTTTACATTATTTTTGAAGTCCTGCATAACTGCAAAAGAACAATTTTCACTAATTTTCTTCCACATGTGATGTATCTGACAGATGAGAGATCTGAAAATGGAATTCTTTCCAGTGCTGTCAGAGGGCCTTGGATAAAAATGGGCAATTCCTCCCTAACCCCATATAGTCAAATCAAATAGTTCTATGCTCAGAGATATCTCTCTTTTCCTAAACTTGTTTACATATCCCTTGATTAAGATAGCTTTGTGAAATCCTAACTAATTCACAAGAAAAAACCAAACTTATATAGAATTAAGAACAAAAATAAAACAAAGAAAACAAACAAACAAACAAACACCCCCACCAAGCAGCACTGATAGCTGTCTCAATAAATTCTTTTAAACAGAAAATAAAGATTCTACAACAGCAGACAAACAGAGCAATTTCTTATGTAATACCTAATTTGTAAACAAACAACATTTGCATTTGATATAATTCAGTTCCTCAGGATGTTAAAATGGTTCTTATCTGTATTTAATTAATAAAAATGGCTTTTAAAATGCTAATCGTGTGTCCCATGACATTACCCTTTGACATTAGATAAAGCCAATAACAACAGAATGGTTGTTTCCAGAAATGTAAACATCTACAGGAGTGATACTTCAGAACAGACTGATATTACATACTAATGTTTACCATTTCCCATGGTTCCATTTGTGTATCTCAGACAATTCTGTATGTATTGGGAAAATTAATAATTTCTAACATTATTTTTTTCACTTTATAGATACTGTTACCAGGTTTACTTCATTTGAGCACTATCTAAACGTATCATAGAGCATTCTTCTCAGAAATCATCCTGAAGTTTCTCATTGGAATGGTTTCCATGAAAGAACTAAACTAAGGTCAGAATTTGGTGTAAAAAGACACTTGTATTTTCAAGCACCTTCCAGATCAATCCAGAAGATCATGATATTTTGTGGGAAGGCTGGAAATATTCACTTTGGTCTTCAAAAATACCAAAAACCAGTTTATTTTGACAATAAAGATACTTGTTCTGTTCAGGTCAACATCAGCAGGTTTCATTAGGTGTAAAGGAAATATTCTAGAGCATTCACAGATAAATCCATGGATATGGCACACACAAGTGTCAGTGATGAGGCTTGAACAAGGTAGGCACAGGAACATAATTCCATACTAGGAGTGTCTCTGAAATATTTCTATTTTTTAGAACAAATTAATAAAGTGTAGAGAGCTTCAGAATATTAGTTTTGCAATGAGAAGAAAAATTCCGCTATCTGATTGTAAATGACAGAACAGTGAAGGTTGTCTCCATGTTTATTCAATCCTGAGCACATAAGAAAAAACAGACAACAAGGCTTGCATGAATAATAGTTAATTTTGGAAGTGGGCAAGCCCAGAGAATTACTAGTGAGACTGCAGTTGATATATATGTACATACACATATATATATAGTTGAAAAGTCAGTGATTTAGCATTCTTGTTCAGAAATAGAAACCTCTAGATTTGTTTCAAGAATTCCTTAAATTTGTTCTAGCAGGTAGGACATGCTAGGGCAAGCAAGGACTGTAACTGCTGTCACATGCTACAAGGTCTACATGTAGACCTTTCATAAGCAAATACTTTTTTTCAGCAGTGTTATACCAGGTATTCAGCTGTTAATGTAGAAATATAGCTGTTAAAACCCAGTACTCTTCAGAAACAAAGAGAGAAGAGGAATGTAGGACAAGTACTGGAAATAACAAAAGAAAATGGCCATAAATAATTCTATACCTGTGCAACCCAAAGCTCTCTCTCTCTCTTGACCTTTCCTTCACAAATTCCATGGGCTATGCTAGGAAGTAAGAGGACACTTTTGTAAACATTGTTTTTAGGATTTTACATAGTGACTAATCACAATATATCATTCACATCCATACAGTAAACATATAATCACAACTCTATGTCTTTCACCTAACTTTTACTAGTAACTGTGAATTAATTACAGCTACAAACAAGCTACTTTTCATTATCTTGCTGCTTTAAGCTCTTTTAAGAATATTTTTAAAGTTCTACTGACCTCTGTAGACACTAAAACACAACAGAAAACTACTCACATCTGGAAAAGTGAACTTGTTTACATGCTTAGCAGTCAGTCCATCAACTCTAGTTTTTAATGAAGCATTTTTTCCTTTTGACAGAGCTATTTATTTGTATTAGAAACATGCATAATTTCCAGGAAAATATTCTTGCAGCCACCTGTAGATGCTTCATGAATGACTGATCTACATAGATACCATAGGTAAAAGGAAAAATTATTTGAATTGTAAATTGAAGGTTGCAGACTACTAAATCTTGCTGCGTACTACTCTGGGCAGTATGTTGAAGATCCTGGAGATATTTCTTTAGCTGCCATTTGAAATGAGCACAAATAAATGAACTATCATAGCTACACTATCAAGGCTAACCTAACAAAAGGAGTAACAATGTACAACTGCCGAAAAAAAATAAAGACGTAATGAAAAATTTTACTTTTATGTTTGGTATTGAGGATGGCTCACCTGAAGCAGACTTTTTCATCTCTTTTCAACTGCTTTAGGGAAACACCATCTCTCTTTTTGGGACTTGTGAGGTTGGACAGCTGCCTAGACACTGACGAAGAGCGTGTGAATTTTGCTAGAAGAGATGAACTGAACAGAGCTCACAGTGAGGAACCAGATGGACCCCTGAACTCTGAGCTTGATGTTTGTCACCAGGACCCAGAATACATGTTACCAACTCCCTTGCCGCATGCCCAGGTCAAACTGATCACCAGCTGGGAAGCAGGATGGAATGTAACAAACGCCATTCAGGTAACCTTTTACTTCCCCACTTATTACACTCATCATTTGAAAAACATGATCATCACTTAGCCTATTCTGTTTTACTTCGCTACACCATCATTTTGCAGTATTCTGGAAGGTTTCTATGAATTTATTACTCACATATTTGAACCTTTCAGCATAATATCAGCACTCTGAAAAAAAGGGTTCCAAAGGGGAAAATGATACATATGCTATCTAAAGTTTAAAAAATGTTTAAATTTTGTGAAATTGAAAAGGTGGTGATTGCACCAGTTTTGGGAGTGCAGGCATTATCTTTAATAAGTATATTTGAATTCAGTGACAGAGGTGTTTGATAGAAGTGTGAGATAAACATCTAATAAAAAGAGGATGGTAAGAGCCAGACTGACGTCAGAAACAAATTTACTGACATGTAAGTTAGACTGGAAATAAATTGAAGCACGAAGCACAAGAAGTGTAATAATACTTGTCAATGTTAAAGAAAATAGTTAGGTTGAATAGACTGAAAACAGTTGGTCCCAGCATTCTGTGTGGAATTTGAGTATCTTTCTAAATTCTTAAATTTAGCATTAAATGTTTCAGAATCTTATTCTCACTTTTCATGATTCATTTCCTTACATAATTCTATCATTACCACTAACATTCTGCCTGACATGATGAGAATAAAGCAGTACCCACAGACACATCTAGTCCCAGTAACTTTTACTTAAATAATTTTTGTATCACTTTAATTATAGAAAAATAATCTTTCTGGTATTACACAAGTCTGACTATGACTATCAACATTTGTTTACATATCCAGTTCATCCCTGAGCTCTGCAAAGGAGGAGAAAAAAGGACATATTTCTAACCCTGCTGCATTTTCAAACCTGAGCACCACCACATGAGAGCCAATGCAATAACAGGGCACAGTAGCATATCATACTCTGAAAGTGTTCAGCTGCAAATAAAAGTGTGAAGTCCTAAAATACCTCAACTGCATTCTAGTAACACATTTTATCTTCAGTCTCCCTCAGCAGCATCTAGACAGGACAGGAGTCTGGGATGAGAGCCCAGATGAGTTTTGTCTGTGAGTTTTGCCTTTGATTCCACAGAAGCCAAGATTTCATTCTGGAAGTCAGTTTTGTCAATATTTGCTGTATGACCTTTTGGCAAGTCATGTTCTCTCATTCATTGTTTTCCTTTCTGGACAATTCCTCCATAAATATATCAAAGTGCCAAAAAAACCCTGAATATTGTTGTGTGCACAAGTACTATTAATTATTAATAAATATTATAGCTTTCAGTTAAAAAATAGACTGACAACACAGTGTAAAAACACAATCAAAGATACAGTTACCTATTTTAAATGAGGGCAGATTGAAGCTAAACTATCTAATCAAATCAACAACCATGGTTTTAGTCAAAACTTTCAGCGTACTGAGTGTTGCTAACCATGGCTCTCATTTGGTCAAATATTTTAGAAAGCAGCATTAAGAGAGTAGGCTGAAGACTGCAAAGCCTGGGAGATGCATTTTCATTAGTAGTACCACCAAAGTGTCCTAATGACACATTGTTAAACGGTGTGGATATGCAACCTCAAATGTGAATTTATGCACACATAGACTCTATGCATTTTTCCCAATTGTCAAGACCTGGGATTGGGAGCAAGGCATTTGGTTTAGAAACAAGGGTAGGGAGCAGAGAAAAGGGGAGGGGAAAGGCAGGAGAGAAGAGAGGAGAGAATATTGAATGGGTATCTGTCAGTAAAAAATAACAGTTTGAGGAAATTTTTATGAATAGCTTTGAACAGACAGTCTGAGTTGTGAGCAGAATGATTAAAACAATCCAAACATTCTTGACTGGTGAAGACAATCTATGCTAAAATGAGTTGTTTTGCCCTACTCAGAGGAAAGGGCAGAAGTGTTTTGCATGGCAATTAAAGGTAAACATTTCAGCAGATTTCTGAAGTGTTCTAAACAGTTATTCCAGTGAATACAATTAGTCTAAAAGCAAAATTATTTCACAATCAAGATTTATTATGGGAACGATTAAATCTTTAGTCTATGAAATCAAATTCAAGGGTTCTCTCATAGTGCTTTAAATATAAGTATTTTCAAACAAACAATAAGATATTTTTATCTTGTTCTCAACTTGAACTGCAAAAATGTGTGCTTCTGCTGATGATACTATATGTGTAAATGATTGCTTCAGACATTTAAGTTTCCTGGGAAACATGTTTCTTATTCCAACACTGCACAGGCAAATGAAAACCTGTGTTCATTTAGTCTGGGTAAGGACAGAGAACATAAAACTGAGTTAATTCTAATGGAAAAATGTACAGCATCATCTGGCAGAGTGATGCAAGTTGCATTTGTTTGTATGTAGCAGTAAAAAGCAAAAAAAAAAATATTTGTAATAACTTGTACAGTAGTGCTGGATAGATAAGCAAAGCAACAACAACAAGGAAGAAGGTGGTTAAATTCTAACGGTACGGGGCTTCACAGCAGAACCAAAGGACAAGAAAGACTATTTGCCCACCAGATATGGTAGGATTTTTACCAACAGTGTCAGATTGGGAACCTGTCACTAGTGGGGTTCCACAGGACTTCATCTTAGGCTGTGTGTTCTTCAACGTCTTCATAAATTACTTGGATGCAGAACTAAGCAAGTTTGCAAACAACACAAAAATGGGAGGAGCTGTTGACTCCCTCAAAGGCAGGGAGGCGCTGCAGAGAGACCTTGACAAATTCGAGGACTGGGCAATCACCAACCATAGGAAGTTCAACAAGGCAAAATGATGGATTCTGCACCTGGGATGGAGCAACCCTAGATGTTCATACAGACTGGGGAATGAGACGTTGGAAAGCAGTGCCATGGAAAGAGACCTGGTGGTCCTGGTCGACAGCCAGTTGAATCTGAGTCAGCAGTGCCCTGGCAGCCAGGAGGGCCAAGGTTGCAATGGATATGCAGTATATTAGAGCAACAGAAGTTTTTACTGGGTTTTAAGTGAACATGTTTTCAAAATGGCCTCTTGTAGTTTTTTTGCTAACTCACTTTCTTCTTCCCTAAGTCCCCTGCGTTATCACTATTCTGGAACGTCCAAGGAGATATCAGGAAGTTTTCTTATTGGTCTTTATCCATTCCCTTCTATTGGTTGTTAATCCTTTCTTGCCATTGGTGGTTCTGTAAGACCCTCTGAACTTTTAATTGGTTATTCTGTAATCCCTCTAAAGCCTATATATATCCCTATCCATTCAATAAATCGCTTTCTTGCTCTCTCCTCTTGTGGTCTCTGTGTGGCTCTTTCTGGGCTCCTGGGACCACGTAGTGGGGGAGGGGGGAGCATTTTCCCCTCCAGGTAATGGGCTAAAACCTTATGGATTCTGGTCGACAGCTGGTTGAACATGGTCTAGCAGTGTGCCCAACTGTCCAAGATGGTCAGTGGCATCTTGGCCTGTATAATCAATAGTTTGGCCAGCAGGTCCAGGACAGTGACTGTCCCTCTGTATTTAGCTCTGGTGAGGCCGCACCTTGAGTGCTGTGTTCAGCTCTGGACCCCACACTACAAGGATACTGCAGTGCTGAAGCATGTTCAGAGAAGAGCAACAGAGCTGGTGAAAGGTCTGGAGCATATGTCTTGTGAGAAGCAGGTGAGGGAGCAGGGGTGGTTTAGCAAAAAAGGAGGTTCAGGGGAGACCTTACTGCTCTCTACAACTACCTGAGTGGAGGTTGCATTGAAGTGGGGATTGGTCTCTTCTCCCAGGCAACTGCTGACAGGATGAGAGGACATAACTTCAAGCAGGGGAGACTCAGGTTGGATGTCTGGAACTATTTCTTCATGGAAAGTGTTGTTAAACATTGGAATGGATTGTCCAGGGAGATGTTGGAGTCACCATCCCTGGAGGTGTTCAAGAAATTATTGGATGTGTCACTTAGTTCAAAGTTGGACTTGATTATCTTAGAGGTCTTTTCCAACCTAAATGATTCTGATATTCTGTGAAATCATGCTGAATGTGCAGTTTGATTCAATGTATCTGATACCTAATATTGCCAACTTTTGTGTCTGGCATTTTGAAAAGAGTTAGGTTGTACAAAGATTAGAAATACTGCAGCAGAGGGAATTTTACAATTCTATGATCAGAATAACACAATATGGTGCTTGTCTATTGTGAGTGCTTCTAGGAATAACCATAATTCAATTAGTAGTATTAATAATTATTTTAAAAGTGTCAGTAATAAATTATCAATTATTGCAGCAATTATCATAGATATGCTCATTATCTTTATATTCTGTATATTGTACATTAGTTCAGAAAAGACTGAATACTTCAATAATCATCATTTAAAGACTGAATATCCACGTGTCCTTCACTGTGTGCATTTATAGCCATATTTCCGTACTGTGTTTCAATTCAGTTAATTTTAATTTATGTAACTCTAAGAGGTTCACTTGAAAATATCTCATAATTAACATTTATTATTCTTTGATGTTTCCTTTGAGCTACCTGCCTTCACCTCCCTAATATAGACCAATCCTTAGAATTCTTATTGAATATCCACAACTCCCAAATACTGACATGGAAAACACACTCTTGCTGAGAATTGGAATTAGCAGACATGTCCCTAAAGACATAAAGGCAAACATCTTTTTAAGGTGTCTAAACACCCCTCACATTAAACTTTACTGGTAACATTTTCTAAGTATAAATATGTAAATGTTTGTGCATTTCTAAAGTGGGTCATTAGATGTATAACAGTATAAATCATCTCATCCTCAATCTTAAATAATTTAGTCACATTTAACTAAATAACCACTTGGATTTTGCAGCACTTGATCTTAAGTTTTTAATTTCCAGTGTGAGAACATAGGTCAGTCCTTTCTTGTGTACCAAGAAGCAAATTCCTTGAATTTTATATGGAAGCTGAAGTCATATACATTGAAGCTAAAGTCATACTCTGAACTAAATTAAGACATTGGAGGGAAATGAACTTGATGTGGTACTGATAATTAAAGGGACACGCCCAGT